CATTAGCACCTCTAGTAATATATTTACTGAGAAAAATGTTGACGTGTTCAATACTTATTTTACCCGCTGTATAACCTTATATCATACTGCACAATATTCAGAGCTGATAGTAAACAGAGTCAAAGATTGCAGTTTTTCTGTTGTCTCCTAAAGATGAACCGCTGCGTTTGTCACCTGGAAGTCATGTCGGATGAGGATCCTCCAGCGTCTCCGTTTTCCTGCGGAACGGGTCTCTGAGGTAACGAAGCAGCTCCATCTGTGAGAGAAACAAGCAAACACTGTTGGTCAGAAAATACTGACCATCATTTTAATTTTTCCAAATTTAGTTTTAACAACTGTTTTAAACAGCTTTACAGCAAGAAAACAACTAGAGTTACAAACTTTAGACTTGTCTGAATGTCCTAAACCACTAGATTCTTGTTTTTTTTTTTTGCCAACGTCTATTATCCAGGTGTGCCCCCTGCACACCCAGCAGTTTGGGTTGGGTCAGAAGCATAAAGACCAGCAAGGCCCATGGAGGCATTGAAGCTTTACAAATAAACCTGACTGACTTGTTTTGTTTCACTGTTCTTAATTATGCTGAGTCAATCTTTTTTTTCTTTGTCTTTTAGAGAAATCCGGACAGTCTGGAAGGATTGTTCTCTGTCACCTCACACCGAGTCAGACCAGATTTATTTTAACGTAACATTTCCTTCAGAGTGTTAAACTCCTAGAGCTGTTTTATTAGTTTACTGACCACAGGTCTTTCAGATTATGTAAACCAGCTGGAGGCATGGAAATAAATACGACTTGAATTCTAAAAATGCTTTTGTTTTCTACTTTGCAAAGAACAGTAGGACACTCACCTCCTTCACTGTCCGAGTCGTCTGTTGAAAAACAGAGAGAGGGGGGAAAAATAATGCATTTTTTTTAAAACAAAGAGACTAACACCCACACTTTGTGTCTTCGGATCAATTATAGAAAAATGTGCCGTTAACTTTTCTGACATAAGCAAATAAAAAAACTATTGAATGAGCCTGGATTTACTTTAACACCTGCCAAAAATACAGAAGCAATCTTTATTTTCAAGTTAAGATGAATAAAATATGGTTCTGTGGAAGTTCTAAGGTGTTTGCAGGGATTACCTTGACCCTCAATCTTTGGTCTCCTCCTCTGCCCCTTGGCAGACGAAGGCCGAGGTATTCTCACTGGACTGTTCGTCTGCGAAACAAGAAAGATGTTTTCTTTTATGGGCCTAAAAATACAACTCTGTCCCGCTCGGTACGCCTTCCAGTTCAATATTACTGTTTATTCCATACTTCCCTCAGACACAATACAATAAACGAGACTAGAACAAACAGAAGTGGATCCAAAGATTAACAGAAACTTGATGAGAAYRAAAGATTTTGCTGACGCAGCGTTCTCACCTGGTTCTCGTCTACTTCTGCAGGCTGTACAGTGAACACAATGTTTTCATTTCAGTAAGCTACGAACACTCAATTATCCCATTTATCATTTAATAAAACAAGAACACAATCCTAAATAGCTCTGCTAATAGCCACGCCAAAGCTGAAGCAGTAATCACTACAATTAAATTTTAATTTGTTCTTAATCTTTGTTCCACTCATGTCTGAAAGAGATATTACCTCTTCAGCCGGATTTGGATCCTTGCAAGAAGAGGCGAAACAATAAAAACAGAAATCAGAGTTTATTACAGCCTGTCCTTCCAGTAACCACACTCTAAAAATGAAATGTTGGATTTACTTAACCATGTTATGTGACCTGGTTCCACTTAACTGAGTTGAGTAAATTCAAAACAACATGTTTATGTTCTTTGGTTAAAAAACTGGTATGTTGCTTTGAATTTACTCAACTCAGTTAAGTGGAACCAGGTCACATACAGTAACATGGTTAAGTAAATCCAACATGTCATTTTTTACAATACAGTTGTGAATCAGAAAGAACTCACTGCTGGCACTGGTTTGGCTGGTTTGCTGCTCTGCTCCTCAGGACTGGGTTTCTGCTGCAGTACTTCTGACTCTCTGGCCTGAGAATGACACAGTTCATATAAATAACATTTTTATTGCCATTACAAATGACAGGAGTCGGATCAGGAGGCATACTTTCTCATTTCTGCTCTCTCCACTCTTGTTTCTCTCGTCCCGGTCTTTGCGTCGCTCTCTGTCTTTGTCTCGTTCCCGGTCTCTGTGAGAATCCCTGTCTCTGGTCCGCTCCTTGTCTCTCTCTCTGACTCTGTCTCGGTCTTTGTCCTTGTCCCGGACGCGTCCTTTGTCTCGCTCCCTGTCTCGACTCTTGTCTTTGTCGTTGGTCTGGTGTTCCTGTTTGCTGCGGTGGTGCCGGTCCGACCTCTCGCCATCTTTGTCTTCGTCTCTCTGCCGACTCTCTGGCTCTTTAGGCTGGTCTGGGTCCTTCTGCTCCCGGCTGCCGCTGCGCTCCGTTATCTTTTTTCTCTCCTGAAATCAGTCAAAAGTTAGAAAAAAAAAACACAAACAAAATAAAAGTAGGATTGTTTTTTTGTACAACAAAGACTTTAGCAGGAAGAGGACTCACCTCTTTGTCCAGCGGGCGTTCACGTCCCTCCCTGTTCTCCTTGCCCTGGSACTTGGAGGTGCCGGCCTTGGTCTTTAGGTCCACCTTGTCTCCTGTGAGCACTCGCTTTACTGCTTCATCACTGGACAACTGCAGATTTGATTAAAGAAAATAATTTGATAATATCAAGAAATAAACAAAAAACTCAAAAAGATTCAAATAAAAAAATCAATTATATGTGAAAAAGTGTTAAAATACAACTAAAACTGAAATATTTCACACAAATTAAAAAAAACAACAGTACCCAGTAGCCCCAGTGTTATTAGAAACACAACCAAATGTGTTCCTGGATGCATGTATTGCATAAGCTCTGAGAATAATATATTTAAATCCCTGAGAATTGTTTACAGATTGTTGAAAGAACAACTGTCCCCCGGGCAGTGGCTCACAGGTCGACGATCCGTCTCTGAGGATTTAATTWAAATATTTCTAAGTTCTCCCTGAGGCGACTGAGCAGTTTTCATCATTGAGCAATATTTTAATGTGCAGAAAAAATAAACCCACAAAACTTTATTTTAATGTGGCGTCTTACAATTTCCAGAAAACATGCGACAACACTGAACACACTTTCCTGAAAGTGTTGGTGTTTTATTGGGCTTTGCAGTGTGTGTGTGTGTGTGTGTGTGTGTGTGTGTGTGTGTGTGTGTGT